AAGTCTCACCATCCTTGCTTCTAAGGAGCATTCTGGCTGTACTTCTTCCAAGACAGATTTGTTCATTCTTCTGGCAGTCCATGGTATAGTCAATATTTTTTTTTGGCAATACCATAATTCAAATGCATCAATTATTCTTTGGTCTTCTTTTTCACTGTCTGGCTTTTGCATGCATATGAGGTGATGGAAAATATCATGACTTGGGTCAGGCACACCTTGGTCCTCAAAGTGACATCACTGATTAACACTTTTAAAGAGGTCTCTTGCAGCACATCTGCCCAATGCAATATGTTGTTTGAGTTCTTGACTGCTGCCTCCATGGGCGTTGATTGTGGATTCAAGTAAAATGAAATCCTTGACAGCTTCACTACTTTCTCCATTTGTCATGATGTTGCTTACTGATCCAGTTGTGAGGATTTTTATTTTATGTTGAGGCGTGATCCATACTGAAAGCATTTGTTAAATAAATAGCACAAAAATGAGTTACACTATTTTTTAGAAAAATGAAAATTACATGATAAAATGGCAGCCCTTAATATTTTAAAATACTTTGTTTTTTCAAGAGTATTATGGGCTTTTTATCCATGCTGCTCTACAAAAGTCAAAAAGACCCATCACTATTAAACATTCAACAAACATTTACTAAGTACCAACCATGAGCTAAGAATACTGTGCTAGGTGCTCTGGGAAATACAACATTAGTAAGACTTTGTGTGTGCTTAGAACTCAAAGGCTAGTGGATGTTGCTGGACGGAAAGGGCTAACATAAAACATTTTCAGTGCAATGGGATAAATGCTGAAACAAATACAGAGGGCTGTGAGTACACAGAATGGGGTTTGCATGCTGTTTGAACATGCTAGGGGAGAGGGATGGAGCAAGGTAGAGGGCATGAGTATTTGTTTTCTTCATAACAACCCAACTGTGACTATTTCTTCATTTTACCCACTGAGTCATTCAATGTTTTATAATTTAAAAAAAAAAAAAGCTCATTTTGAACTGCCCATCTTTTAAAAATGTCTACCCTACTTTAGTTTGTCCTCAGCTTTAGCTACTTTGAAAGAGGCCCAGCTCACATGCCGTCACCTTAGCGAAGACTTCGCTGATTCTCCTAGAAAGTTAGTCCTTCCTTCCGTTGTCTACACACCTTTTCTTCCCACCTCTACTTACCATAATCTTTATTCATTTTTTTTCAATTGTGGTGAAAATATACACACCCAAACATTTGCCAACACAATTTCTACATTTACAATTCAATGACTGATTATATTCTGCATGTTGTGCAACCATTGTCACAATCCTTCTCCAAAATATCCCACCACCATTAACATAAACTCAACGCCCCCCCGAGCAAAATCTTCCTCCTCCCCCTTCCTTCCTGTCCCTGGTAACCTCTAGTAATCTTTGGTTTGTATACATCAGCCTATTTCATATAAGTGAGATCATACGGTATTAGTCCTTTTGCAACTGACTTCTGTTGCTCAGCATGATGTCCACACACCTTTTGATAGCACTTGCCAACTGATTTTATTATTTACGTCCTTTTTTGTCTAGAAAGGTGTAAGAACCAAGTCTTAGCCTTCTTTGTATCACACTGAGGAGGCACTCAGTAATCATTTACTGAATGAAGTGAGTTAGGACTCTATTACAGATTAATACTTGAACAACTGGCATGTGTCTTAAAGCATAGATGATATCCTGCTATACATATTGTCTGTTTTATCAGTTCAGATTTTGCTCTGATGATGGAGTATCCTCAAAGCAGTAAAACAGAACTGATACTATCTATGTTTTCATTTTACACAAAAACTGAGCTAAATTATTAGGTTGCATTTCAAAATAAGTTTTAACTCATTATGGATGAAAGTCATATGGATAAGGAATCTTGGGGGATTCTGAAACTGCCCTTGACTGTCAAGATGCAGACAGTCTGTCTGACTCACTGGACATCCTGCCCGAAAGAGACACTGAAGCTGAGGAACAGTGATCCATGGGCTTAACCTTAATAAGAAAAAAAGACTGTATTAAAGCCAACTGTTTTTCTGTTGAAAAATAAATATGTGGACTTTTAAGGTTAAGTGAGCTGACCTACATGATACTCAAGAGAGGTACAGGGGCTTAGTAACTCTGCTGGTAACCAAGCACACGTCCCTGAGAAACACAGCAAATGATACATTACAAACTAAACAGCTCTGAACCCATTGCTGCTGAGCCGTTTTCAACTCACAATGACCCTATAGGACAGAGCAGAATTGCCGCACAGGGTTTCTAAGGCTTTAACCTCTACGGGAGCAGACTGCCACATCTTTCTCCCACAGAGCAGCTGGTAGGTTGGCACCGTCGACCTTTTGGTTAGCAGGGCTGGATAATGACAGAGGCCTGCAAGAAAGAGTATGGGTCCATAGAACACTATTCTAGCCCATTCTATTTCACTTGGTCATGGACCTTCACACTCCTGGAATTCTGGAGCTTGAAGTCTAGGGTATGACATACTCCATTGGTAAATCTGCTCTTCTCTCTAGTGATTTTCAACCAGTGTGGACATATGAGGATTTCACTGAAGGTGGGGTAGAGGAGGGAGGGGAGAGAAAGCATATTTTGGCATGTATAATTTGAAAAATCCCTTCAGACCACCAAGTCACTGGATTAATCAAGATTGTCTGACATGAAACAATGAACTATTACCTTATTCATGTTTTTATATACTCAGTTCCCAGCAGTTTCTGGTACACAGTAGTCAGTAAATATTTGTTGAATGAATGAATAACTAAATAATCCCCCTTTAGAAGCTCATTCTAATGTTTCATTGCCTTGATAATTAAGACACTGACCTAACTCTTCTTTTCAGCCTGTAACACCGACCCACAAGTGTGACGACAGGTGCTCCTACTGAAAGCTATAGGAGGTGACAGGGTGTAGGAAGTCCTTGAGGCTTGTGAGCTCTGAAGTGTTCCCAGAAGCCACGACTCTCAACATGGCTCCTATTAAATGAGTCTCAGGTTCCAAACTGAATCCAATGCTCAGCAAGAGCAAACTATGTTTTCTAGATTTGGTGACTGATCCTGTAAATCATTTTTAATATCCCTTTGTCTTTGTTATCTAGTGCTGCTGTAACAGAAATACAAGTGGGTGCCTTTAACAAACAGAAATTTATTTTCTCACAATTTAGGAGGCGAAAGTCTGAAATTCAGGGTGCTGGCTCTCGGGGAAGGCTCTCTTTCTGTTGGCTCTAGGAGAATGTCCTTGTCTCTCTGGAGCTTCTGCTCCTGGGCAATCTTCATGTGGCTTGGCATCTCTCTTCCCCCATCTCTGCTCTGCTCACTTGTTTAATCTCTTTTTTATCTCAAAAGAGATTGACACAAGTATACCCTATACTATTCCTGCCTCATTAACATAACAAAGACAACCCATTCCCAAATGGGATTATAACCACAGGCATAGAGGTTAGGGTTTACGACACATACTTTAGGGGGACATAATCCAATCTATAACACCCTTGCTCTTAAATTTCACCCCCCACAAATGTATTTAATCTATTCCATTGGAATGGTTCATCTATGAATGCATTTGTTAAACAAACAAACAACAATAAAGTTTCTATCATGTAAAACTCGTTCCTTATTTCTACCATTACAATCAAATTATATGGCTAATCAATCAGGGAAGTATATGCTTCTGTTGTTGTTGTTGTTAGGTGCCATCAAGTTGGTTCATAGCGACCCTAGGTACAACAGAATGAAACACTGTCCGACCCTGTGCCATCCTCACAATTGTTGTTATGCTTGAGCCCATTGTTGCAGCCACCATGTCAATCCATCTTGTTGAGGGTTGTCATGGATTGAAGTGTGTCCCCCAAAAATATGTGGGGCTAGGCCATGATTCCCAGTATTGTGTGACTGTCCACCATTTTGTCATCTGATGTGATTTTCCTATGTGTTGCAAATCCTACTTCTATTATGTTAATGAGGTGGGATAGGCAGTAGTTATGTTAATGAGGCAGGACTCAATCTACAAGATGGGATTGTGTCTTGAGCCAATCTCTTTGGAGACATAAAAGAGAGAAGTGAGCAGAGAGATGGGGGGTGGGGGGCAGGGCGGGCTACCTCATACCACCAAGAAGGCAGTGCAGGAGGGGGACGGGGCAGGCTACTTCATACCACCAAGAAAGCAGTGCTGGGAGCAGAGCTAGTCCTTTGAACCCGGGGTTCCTGCTTGGAGAAGCTCCTGGCCCAGGGGAAGATTGATGACAAGGCCCTTCCTCCAGAGTTGACAGAGAAAGCCTTCCTCTGGAGCTGACACCCTCAATTTCGACTTCTATTCTATTCTACCAGACTGTGAGAGAATAAACTTGTTTGTTAAAGCTATCCACGTGTGGTATTTCTGTTACAGCAGCACTAGATGACTAAGACAACGGTCTTCCTCTTTTTCACTAACCAAGACTTTACCAAGCATGATGGCTCCCTTCTCCAGGGACTGATCCCTCCTGAGAACATGTCCAAAGTACATGAGACGCAGTCTCATCATCCTTGCTTCTAAGAAGCATTCTGGCTGTACTTCGTCCAAGACAGATTTGTTCGTTCTCTTGGCAGTCCATGGTATATTCAACATTCTTCACCAACATCATAATTCAAATGTGTCAATTCTTCTTTGGTCTTCATTATTCATCGTCCAGCTTTCGCGTGCATATAAGGTGACTGAAGACACCATCGCTTGAGTCAGGCACACCTTAGTCTTCAAGGTGACATCTTTGCAAAGATATGCTTCCATCCTTTATGAATTATAAGCAGCCCTGGTGGTGCAGTGGTTAAGCTCTCGGCTGCTACCCGAAAGGTTGGCAGTTCAAAGCCACCCAGCAGCTCTGAAGGAGAAAAAACCTGGTGATCTGCTCCTGTTAAAATTACAGCCAAAAGAATCCTATGACGCAGTTACACTCTGTCACATGGAGTCCCTATGAGTTGAAATCGATTCGATATACCTAACAACGACTTATGAATTATATGCAATTATGCATAAAATCTGTTTCACTTCACTTTTTCTTAATTTTATTGTTGTGCTTCAAGTGAAAGTTTACAATTCAAGTTAGTCTCTCATACAAAAATTTATACATACATTGTTATGTGACCCTAATTGCTCTCCCTATAATGTGATAGCAAATTCCTCCTTTCCACCCTTGATTTCCTGTGTCCATTCAACCAGCTCCTGACCCTCTCTGCCTTCTCATCTCACCTCTGGACAGGAGCTGCCCATTTAGTATCATGTACCTACTTGAGCTAAGAAGAAGCACACTCTTCACGAGTATCAACTTATGTCCCATAGTCCAGTCTAATCCTTGACTGAAGAGTTGGCCTTGGGAATGGTTTTAGTGCTGGGTTGACAAGAGTCCAGAGGCCAGGCTTTCTGGCGTTCCTCCAGTCTCAGTCAGACCATTAAGTCTGGTTTTTTTTTACTGGAATTTGAGTTCTGCACCCCACTTTTCTCCTGCTCCAACAGGGACTCTCTGTTGTGCTCCCCGTCAGGGCGGTCACTGGTGGTAGCCGGGCACCATCTAGTTCTGGTCTCAGGCTGTTGCAGTCTCCAGTTTACGTGGCCCTTTCTGTCTCTTGGGCTAATGCTCTCCTTGTGACTCTGGTGTTCTTCATTCTTCTTTACTCCAGGTGGGTTGGGACAAATTGATGCATCTTAGATGGCCGCTCGCTAGCTTTTAAGACCCCAGACACCGCTCACCAAAGTAGGATGCAGAACATTTTCTTAATAAGCTTTGTTATGCCAGTTGACCTAGATGTCCCCTGAAAGTGTGGTCCCCAGACCTCCACCCCTGCTACTCTGTCCCTCAAAGTGTTTGGTTGTATTCAGGATACTTCTGAGCTTTGGTTTAGTCCAGTTGCTGTTTCACTTAACTTCTGATAGACAATGGGAAAAAAATAAGTGTATCTTGATGCTTAGTCCAAGTATATTCTCAACTGACAAAAGCTATTAAAACAATCACTCCTAAGATTTGTAATAATTTTTATAGTCAACAAATTTCCTTACTTGAGCTGAGTCTCCTTGGGACAAAACTGCAGTCGGTCAAAATCTTTAAAAGATAAAAAGAACGAATAATTACTCGTGACTTGTATAGAACAAATCAATCACTTTTGAATAAAGTCACTCGAAGTGGCTAGGTTGGCACTTACCAAGTCCACATTCCCCTATTGCCACAACTTTCCCCTTATTGTTTTCAGCAAGATTTAACAACTCCTTTAAGTAAAGATCAGGGTTATTCTTTTCAAATTCACCACATCGTGTAGGATGACATCCAACCGTACTGAAAAACATATCTAACACAAAATAACATCTTAGGGTTACTTTCAAAATAATTTTTATTTATACTTAATATACAAAAATGGGAGCATATCAAATAATTTTAGCTGGTTAATTTCTAATAGTAGCCACAAAACTATTCATACTTGATTTAAATTAGTACCAGAATTGTATTATATTAATTGTTCAAGAATTTTTGGAATATCTTAGCAAACTGGGACACAAATATGAAAACTGCCTTAACGTACTGATAAAATTAACCCACTTTTTACCGCAAACGTGGTATTTATTGAGCCTTGTAAAATGGCAAATAAAGCAGTTTCTTGAAATGTCATCACCTAACTTTATCCTTTATATTCACTCTTAATGTGACAGTCTTGATATATGTATTTAACATAAGCTAGCAGTTAAAATGCATTCCCCTTAGAAAGGATAATAACAGAATGATTTAAAAAGGTGGAAGGGGGTTAGTGTTTCTAAGAAAAAAGAAATCTCAGTTATTCGGAGGCCAGACTTTGACAGCTTTAATTGTATGGGACACAAATGTGAAATCAGCAGTAAATAAAAGGTTTCTGGGTGTCTTGGTGGTCACTCATACATGCACCAAAACCCACAGGAGAGGTGAGGAGCTGTCCTCAGGCTCTCAGATAGATGTTTATATACAAAAAGGAGGCAGTACATTAAAAGCTGTGAGCACACAAGGTACATGGAGGAGTAGATCATAGCTGACAATTGAATGGAGAGCTTTTAAGCTATAGCTGTTCGGGTGCAAAAAATATGGAAGAAAATATTCTATACACCTCAACAACTTCTGAGAAGTTTTTTTTTATGACCTTAATCACTAAGAAAAAAATGTTAGTAGATCCTGAAATCTTTTAAAAAGATTTCCATTAAAAAGAGCCTTTAATATGCTTTTAGACATAAAGGTACACATCAGTATTCTGAAAAACGATGAGGAATGCCTCATTCCTTAGCGTCTAACACACAAGGCATGCAAAAATAAACAAACGAAGTCTGATGAATAAGGTGTCACGTAACTTAAGATTTAAGAATTCTAAAAAATTTAGATTTTAATAATGTAGAATGGATGAACATAAAGAGAGCATATGAGGGATTATATATTACATTATTCTTAGTTGTATTTCTGGGGCCTTGCACATCATCTGGCCCACATAACAAATATTCAGTAGATGATCTTTCACAGCTTAAGTTAAAAAAAAAAAAGAGTATATAAAAAAGCAACTCATATCTTAAGCACATCATGAAACACACAAGAATTCTGTATCAGGGATACTTGAGGTTAAATTATGTACCTGGTGAACTTAATTCCCATTAACTGACATCTTAAAATAATGTTCAAGTACTATGAGAAAGTTTTCATATACCAATTGGTACTCTGAATTTTTTCATCTTAATCACGTCCCATTGAAATCAATCCATTGTCCTATTGTTTCCACATTCATGATCCCTTGTATTGTACCTGAAGTAGTTCTCAGAAACACTTCTTCAAAATAACTTAATTCACATTTTTTTTTGGTAAAAGTAATATGAGGATACCATTTGTCTGTGCCAAATGCAGTGCATCTTTACTGTCTTGTAGGCTCCCACCTGTAATCATAAACTGAAATTGGAAGAAACAAAGGGAATAAATCTGACATTAACAAGGCATCAACAACAGCTCCCCAAACACGTATTCCTGCTGCTCCTTTCTCCCAGAATGCCGTTTTCTTTTTGACTATCACACACCTACCCTTCCTTTAAAATTCAGCTCAAAGATCACCCCCTTTCCTTACCTCAATACACAGAATTGTCACTTCCTGTATTTAACATGCCTGTCTTTCCTATTAGACCAGGAATGAGTTCCTTGAGGGCAGAGATTCTGTGTTATGAAACGCTGAATAACTAAAGACGCCCGAACTTAGAATTCTGTGAATCTAAACCAGTGCTTCAAGAGTGTTGATTAATTTAACAGTTCTCAAAGTGTGGTCCAGGAATGCTCAGGGGGTATGCAAGGTCAAAACTATTTTCATAATAATACTAAGAGGCTATTTGCCTTTTTTACTTTCATTCTATCAGGTTTTCCAGAGGTTACATGACATTGATCACAACATACTGACTATAGAAATGGATATAAAAATTCAGCAGTCTTTGATTAAGCCAGACACTAAAGAAATTTGAAAAAAATAAAACAATTCCACTTACCTCACTAAATTTTTTTTTGAAAATATAATTTTTACAAAAATAAGTTAACATAGAATAATTAGTGTTTTAAAATAAATCAATAAATATTTTTGAAGTTTCCCAGTTTTAATTTCTAATATAGTATATATTATATAAACAAAGGTTCTCTGGTATCCTCAATAATCTTAAAGAATGTAAAGGGGTTTTAAGACCAAAAAGTTGGGGAATCACTGGGTGAATGTATACTGATGAAATCTTTGTAGGGAAATTTGTGGCTCTTGGCAAATGAGGATGCTTCTATACAGGTAGCCCACTATTTACAACACATTTGAGGCACAACGAACTGGACTTACGACAGTCCTTTTCTTTTTTGTCAGTAATATGTTGGCAGCGCATAATCTGGTGATGTTATCATTCTCAGATGTTCACTCGCAGATGTTCAATTTTACATTTTACTATTTAAAACACTGCCAGATTTATAAAGACACGGATAATAAAAGGTAAAAAAAAAAAAAAAAAAAAAAAAAGTATTTGACTTACATCAGAACCAACTTACAACGGAGTTGTTGGAACGGAATCCTGTGATAAGTTGGGGACTACCTGTATAGATGGCTGTTAGAGCCCACTCAATGGTCAGAGAGCCATCTGTTAAGATGAAAATGTTAAAGAGCTATGTGTTGATGGTGACTACTCAGACAGTGCTGCTGAAGGTGCACATTCTTATAAAGAAGTGACTTAAGCATATCAACGGGTATTTTTTAAAGCATATTTCAAGAGCCTCACTGAGCTAAGATGAATTCATTCTAGGTACACACCTGAAGCTAAAACATACAAAACGTAGGGAAAAGTGCAAATGATAAACAGGTATTTTCATAGAGCAACTTAAACTTCTAGTATGATTAGACGCTGAGTATCTATTCAGAGAACTTATAGCCATAATTAAATCCTCAATTGTCTGTAAAATCTAGGATACAAGATTCTAACAAAAATATTGGAAAAAACTTCCTTGTTTACTAATACTAATTCTTTAATACCAGATGAACTTCTCACATCCAGTATTTCAATTATGTAAAATAGTTCCTAATCAAGTCTGCTTCTTATTTTATCTATAACTTCTCCAAGTAGATGAAAAAAAGTAAGGGCAAGACTAGAGGGCCTATTTTCTTCTCCCAGTTTAGAATGATGATGGTGGTGGCCTCCACCACATACTTAATGAAGGTTGGTTACTTTACACAAGATATTATACCAAGCACTTTGCATTTAATATGCTTTTTAACCCTTACAACAACTCTCTAAGTTAGGGACTATTACCATTGTGTGTAAATGCAAACAGGAAAATTTTACCATTTACCAAGCAGGGGATGACTACATAATGAGAAATCAATGTAACTTTTATCCTTCATTATTACTTGTGAATACACCCACTCCTTACTTATTGACATGGTTAGTTTTCAAAGACCAAGTGGTTATGTGAAAATTGGCATTATGCGAAAATAGAGGATGACCACATCAGATCACAAAACGAAGGATGACTACATCATTACATAACTGCCAAACCCCTGAGAATCATGGCCCAGCCAAGTTGACATGTAACCTTAACCATCACAGCCAGTGTTACTCTTGCCTCACACCTCCATGTTCATTAGTGTCCGACTACATCGTTAATGTGCAAAATAGTCAGATGGTAGATTTTTTATTATTAACATAAATGTGAAATGTCAAGTAATGGGATAGTCGATAAGTGAGGAGTAGGTGTAATAACTAATATAATTTTAGAGTTGGAGACTACAGAACTCAGTTTGTAGCATCACTTTTTAACCTGAGGTTATTCAATTTAGAAGCATTCCATTTAGAAGGAGAACCAGGTATCCTGATGCCACGCTGTGGAATTTAACCTTATTTCTTTTGTGCACGTGTGGGCTAGCTTGTTATCTTAAAAAAATACTAATTTAAAGAATTTGATATTGAGTTAGTATTAATTTGCTTGGAACTCTATAAAAACAGTAGGAATTTTCTTAACAAATTATTACTGTAAAAGTTAAGAGTGTCCCCTCAGGCATTAGTGACAAATGTCTTTTTGTTGATTGCTTAATTCCAACAAATGCTAATTTGTTATAAAATTTATTATATTTTATTTTCTTAAGAAAGCTAGTAATCCACACAGGTTTTTTAAAAAATTTCGAAGATACTTTGCCATTTACCACATTTCTAATCACATGGAAGAATTATTCATAAGGTTTGTGTAACAAATCCCTGTGAAAAGAATATTTTGATATTTTACTTCTGTTAACTTGTTAATATTACATGTGGACAACACATACCCAAAAAAGGCCAACTACAGCACTAGCTCTTTCTCTTCTGTCTTGCAGAATTTTAGCTAAAATTTAGTTAAAAAATAAAAACAAAGTCAAGAGTAACAAAAAACAGATGTTACCTTTTTAACACCAATCTGGGCAGCTCTCTTTATTACATCCTGTAAGTCATCTGTAAAAGATGAATCTACATTAAGAAAACCTGGTAAGTAAAAGTTCACTTACCTATAATTTAATTATCCCTTCTTGAAATAAAAAGACATGGAAATAATCACATTTATTAAATCAAAGTCAAATGATACTATTTGATGAGTACTTATCATACAATAATAGAACTAGCAATCATACAATAAGAATAGAACTAACAATAAGCTTAAAAAAGGGGGGGGAACCAATGTAAAGCAAATTGGTTGTGTAGTTATCCATATAATTGTATTTTTTGTGTGTGTGTTGACGAAAAATGGGGAAAATGACAAAAATCAGCAGGTTCAAGTGAAAGATGAATTAGCTCACTACAATTTAAATCACTTGCGTTAAATTTGAAACTTGCTGGTATTACTTTTTTGTTTTAAAAGATTGTTTATTTTTACTATGCATTTTCTGAATAATTCCACAATACCTACTAAAATATGGGAAAACATTTGGTTGTAAATCCCAGACAATGCCGTATTTCCATAATTACTATTCCCATTGAGTAAGTATAATTTTTATTTTCTCTGACAGTTGTTTTTTGCTTTATCTGCAAATTTACTGTTAAGTAACAAAAAAACTTTTCTGGGGGGATCAACCGTTACTAAACTCCAAGCGACCTGAAATAAATGGACAGCAAAATTAAACAATTATATCATAAAAATCCATTTATTAGTTTCATATTTAAGTTTCACAGTCAGTGTGATTCTAATCAAATTACTGTTAATTCTAAAGTAGCTATAAAATTGCTTCTAGACAAAAAAAATATCAACTTTAACTTGTACTAAGTAGGACAACCAGTTTTGCTAGATGTTATAAACTGCAATAATACTGATATTGATCATAATAAAATTTATTTCATAAACACACATATACAACATACAGAAACACAGTCACAAAGCAGAAAATCATTATGTGCTAGAGAAGAACATAATTTAATAGTTGAACTGTACTACATAAGTGATGTATAAAAATATTTAAAATACTAAATGAAACAGAAAAAGTAAGTTTGAATATGGAAGTTAACATGGATTTTTCTCCTTTCAAGTAGCATCTAACATTCCTGTATTTAGGGAAGCGTTCACTTAAAGACTACTCAGAAGCTCAGTAAGATCAGCTTCTGATTCAGCTTTGTGAAATGTGCAATTTCACCATGATCCAGAACCGCAAAACCAAATTTTCCTGTTTGCATTTACACAATAACAAGTATAGTCAATTTTCTGAGACAATATTCACAGATTAGTTTATTGAAGAAATTCTGTTTTCAAGAACTTCCTGCCACCTTAACTTCCTGCTTATTCATCTCTCTGTTGACAAAACAGTCCTTTTAAATGAACTTGATACTATAAAAATAAGTCATTTTGCTTGGGGCTAAGCTTTCCACCAATCTTTGTCCTACTGCAATCTATACAGCAAGATTCTAGGGCAGAAAGGGGGGAAAGCAGGATAGGGAAGGCAGATGGCAGCGTACCTTTATCTCCTTAATCATAGTGCTATGGTGCACCCAGCTGAAAATGTTTTTTGAAAACCTAGATATAACAATGTTCAATCGTTAATGATTTTTGGATTACGCGCCCTACCATTCGATTGCGTAAAATGATTAAACACCAACTACTGTTTGTCTTTCGGGCATATGGTTATGTTGTTGTTAGCTGTTCCTGAGCCAACTCACGGTGACCCCATACACAGCAGAACAAAATGGTGGCCGGCTGTGATCCACAGGATTTTCACTGGCTGATATCTGGAAGTAGATCGCCAGGCCTTTCTTCCTCATACAGTTAAAGTTCTATATTCAAAATTATACACTTCTACAGGTATGCATAATGAGTACTTTAATATTTCAATTGTAAGAATGGATTTATGCTTTTTAAAATCTCTTTTTTGAGTCAGAAAAATCTGTCTTTATAGAGAAATTATTTACCTTGATAAAAAAAATTTACCTGGATGCTTTTGAACCCCCCTATAAATTCCTCTGAACATAGGATCTGTCAAGTTGATACCAATATCTGTGGAAAGCAAAAATAAAATAAATGATTAATTATGAAGAGCCTCAATTTGAAACTTCTACTTTAAATGCAATCTCCTGTTAGTAAACTTTTCATTCACACACTCACTCAGTCACTCACTCAAACAATATCCAGGTGCCCACCACTTGCCAACTACTGTGCTAGACACCTGGGATTCAAACGTAAGTAAGATCTAATTCCTGTTCTCAGAAAACTCCCCACAGAATTTCAAAGACAGACCCGTTAACAGACAATTATGAAATAGCAGAAGCAAGCACTGGTACCACGGGACACAGGAGAGGAATACGAAACCTAGTCTGATGGCTGGCCCAGAAGAGGCCTCCAGGAGGAGGTTCCCCCTGAACCGAATTTTAAAAGATGAGTTAGTTACCCAGCGGGAGAGGGGAGATTGCAGACAGAGGCGGCAGCAAGAGGAAAGCCTTGAGGCACAACACAGCATGGTGCTTGTGGAGAGCTACAGCATGTCCCTCCTGCTGGAGAGAAGTGCAGGGAAGGGGGTGGCCAGAAGAGGCCAGACCCAGCTATGTAAAAGACACCTGTCCTTAAAATGCCAGAGGCGACAAGACGCACTGATGGCTTTTAAGCAGAGGTGTAAGATTTGCATTCAGGGCCTCATTCTGGCATCTCTGTGGAAGGTGGGATCTGAAGGGGACAAGCGGAGACAGGACGTCTTGTTTGGAAGCTAGCAAAAACCAAACCAAACCCACTGCTGTCTAGTCAATTGTGACTATACTGGTCCCACAAGGTCTCCAAGCCAGTAAATCTTCACAGAAGCAGATTGCCACATCTTTCTCCTGCAGAGCCGCTGATAGTTTCAAACTGCTGACCTTTCAGTTAGCAGTCAATCGCTGTTGCCCACTGTGCTACCAGGGCTGAGAACCTGAATTAGGGTAACAGAAGTGGAGATGCAGAGAGGGGAATAATTTACTTATTTTCTGTACTCATCAGCCAAATACTATGTAAGGAGTTAGGGAACATAGACATGAAGAAGCCCCAACACTTGGTCCCTGCCCTCCAGGGATTATAGTCTAAATGGGAACTACAAATGGCCACAGATAATAAACTAGACTGTAAGCACCACGAGGCAGGAAATCATGTGTCTTCTCCCAGGCATATCCAGAGAACCCAGCACAATGGCTGGCAGGCGGTAGGAGCTCTATGGACTTAGTCTATACGTAACTATCAACTGCATGGGAGCACAGAGGAGGAGAATCGACATACGGGATGGGCAGGCACACACTTTATCTCAAAAACTGTAAAAGTCTTCATGCCCATGCAGTGGCTCTCCACAGACAGCGACTGAGCAGCACTTTCCTCTACCTTGGACCCTCCCACCTCTCCCCACCCTGACATGTGCTGGGAGACATTTTTGGTTGTCACAACTGAGGGGGGTGCTACTGACATCTAGCGGGCAGAGGCCATGTTGCTGTTGGGTGCCATCGAGTCGATTCTGACTCATAGCAACCACATGACGAGTAGAAATGCCCCATAGGGTTTTCTAGGCTATAATGTCTATGGGAGCAGACTATCAGGTCTTTCTCCCACGGAGTGGCTAGGTGGGTTCGAACTGTCAACCTTTTGGTAAGCAGCTGAGTGCTTAACTGTTGTGCTACCAGGGCTCCTTGATGCTGCTAAATATCCTATAACGCACAAGACAGCCTCCTGCAACTAAGAATTATCTGGCTCTCAAAATCAAGTGCAGCTCTTGATAAATTCTGCTGTAGAGTATAGGAAAGAAGAATAATGAACTGTGAAGCCAGACTGTGATGGTCATGAGCAATAAAAAGGCCTCCCCTGTTTAAAACACACACTTTAGCTTTTAGCACTAGAAGAATTGGGGGTGGGGGGCGCGTAGCAGGGCTGTTGCCTACCAATAGACCCTACATTATTTATGCCAAGTTTCAGCTTCTCCTTGGTATATTCTCACTCAGTTTTCCCCAAGCTGCCCCCAGGGATGTGCTGCTCCAACATTAAGATAGAGCTTGAAAGGTGAATGGGGGTTTGGATAACCTAAGAGATGGCGCAGAGTATTCCAGGCATTTGAAATAGCAAAAGAAGGGCACAAACGCAGAAAACTGCAAAGCATATTTGGGCAACAACATACATGTCAACAGAGATGAATGGGAGAATGAATTTACAACTGGTCCCCTTTCAGAGGGCTATTAACATACAAACATCATTTAATACTACAAATGCAATACAGGGGTTCAGTGGAATAGCCCAGATCAGAAGAAATCAGCATGTAGTTTCTTTACAAGTAAGGACTTTAGAGAAAGGGGCAGATGGAGAAAGGAAACCCAGGTACAGAGGAGAGGACTTTCTGCCTAAAATAATCCCCCTGGGGTTCAGTCTACTGTCTCCCAACACCGGTGATCATCAGCACCACACAGTGTATCTCTTCTAGACCGTTTCCCCTTGGTTCAGCAACTAGATCTGAATGTTCGCAAAGCAACCTTTTACTGGACAACAAAGTGAAAAATAAGTGAAACCAAAAAGCAAGCAAATGTTAATAAGTAAGCATTTACAATCCTAATTTTAATATTTTATTTAACTCAATATATCTAAAATATTATCATTTCAATATGTAATTAGTATAAAATATTTTTTATAATTTTATTTTCGTTGTTGAGAATATACACAGTAGAACATGCAGCAATTCAACAGTTTCTGCATGTACAATTCAGTGACATGGATTACATTCTTTGAGTTGTGCAACCTTTCTCTTAGGATACTAATTTTAAAAGTGAATGGAAGATTAGCTTTGAGGCTCAGTTTCTGAAGCCCTCCCTTGTCCTTGCCTCAACCCTAACTCGCATGGGTGCTCAATCATTCTTCAGTGTCTAACCTGAGGGAGATACTGGCTGAAGCCAATTCCCAGTGATATCACTGCCTCTTAGAACTGTCTTCCTGATGTGGGTCGGTCCTTCAGGCCGAGTCACAGTGGACTTAATGTTCGACATTCAGCTTTGGGCCCTCGCGAATACTGGGCTTTAGGATAACCTGCGCTGGCCTAGCAACCAATTTCTTCCCTTTTTTGTAAGAATCCCTTCTGACTTACAGCTCTTGGCCCTTTTCTCCCTGACATTGTGATTTACCTGGAGCATATTCCTCAGCCAGTTAGGTATTAGAGCCGCTTCTATCCTTTGATGACTATGCTGCTTCACCTAAGCCGTGAGTTTTGGTGGTAGAAGTATCTTCTTTGCCTGCAGTCTATGTGCTTCGTGTTTCTCTAAGCAGTTCTCCCCTCTCCTGTACTGCAGGGCCTCTTGGATATAAACCATTCCACTTCTCCACCCACCCACTCGCCTGCAAACATCTGCAGGGTGGTTAAGATAACTTACAAGTCAATATAAGGGATCATAGAAAAGTTCAAATTGATCAACTAAAAGTGTTCAACTTGTGAGCAAGTTCCAAAAATACAATAAAATGGGGAAGCGCTATTATACACAGAAGAATGGAAAGGGAATGGGCTGTGGAGTCAGAACTCCTGGCTCTAATTTACTTATTAGATGAATGACCTTTGGCAAATCACTAGGCCTTTTGTGGAGAATAATTCCTCACTGTAGAATTTCTCCTCCCAGGGAGGAAAGGTGGCTCAAGTCAGAAAATGACTGCAAAAGTTTTCTGCAAATTGAAAACCCTATAAAAGAAGATACTTACCACCAAACCTCATGGCTTAAGTGAAGCAGCCTATTAATCAAAGGACAGAAGCAGCTAAAATACTGCAACATGCCAGCAACAAATGGTATTTTAGTCAATATTAGCTATACTGTCATACCACCTTAAGGAGTTAACTCTCTCAATCCAAGACTGCATCGTCAAATAGTCAAATGTGAGTTAATCTGTTTTGTGCATAAGACTCATGCATGACACAACCACAAAAATAAAGCCAGTCACAATCCCATTTATTTAACTTGTGCAAAATGTTCTGATCTGTGATAAAGGATAGTTATCTTCTAAATTAACAGATCCTATTGGAAGTATTTCTATTGGTAACAAACTCACAAAAAAAAGTAAACGGATACTGTAGGAAAAACAATTTCTATCCAGCTCCAGCCAAAGACAGTAAACAGCTGTGGGAGATGAGGGTGGGAGGAAATGACAGGAAGGAAAAAAAAAAAAAAAAGACAGAAAATTACTACTTCTGATTAGGGGGAAAAATCAAGGGATTTATCCATTCAGTGGCATATCAGCCTATACAAATCAGCAATGTTTCTTTCCTATTCATTTTTTTCTTTAAATATCCGGCTTTAAAAGCATTATTGCTTTACAGGTAAAGACTTCAAGTACTAACAAGTTTTATTTTTCAAAATAAAATAAGAGAATGCAAAACTGTTTGCAATCAAGAGAAAAACACATCTCCAAACTGAAGCCTCGTTATTTGGCTCGGTGATCATGTCATACCAATGTCCCTTGTGATCTAGGGATGCAAAGGGACCAGAAACCGGGATTTAAAATTGTTTTAGATTCTCTTAGCTTTGAGATATAGTTTCAAGTTTACAGGAAATACAGAGGATTAAGGAACAAGCGAAATGACACACACGTAGCAAACAAATCCAGAATATAGGATGTTCTGTGGGACAATCAGCCCAGCTGCTTCAACAAGTCAGCACCATGAAAAAAGGGAATGTCCTAGACCAAGGGACTGATAAACTATGGCCTGTGCGCCAAATTTTACATTTCTAAATGGTTGAAAAAAATCAAAAGAATTTTTTTCATGACACATGAAAATCGCATTCAAATTTCACTCCCAAAGTTTTATTGCTAACCAAATGGCTAGAGGTTTGAGTCCACCCAGAAGCACCTTGGAAGAAAGGCCTGGCAATCTACTTCCCAAGAAGCAGCCACGGAAAACCCTATGGAGTACAGTTCTACTCGGACACACATGGGCTCACTATGAGTTGGAGTCGACTGCACAGTAACCAGTTTAAGTTTTACTGGAACGCAGCCATGCCCATTTGCTTGCACAGTGTCTCTGGCTGCTTTTGTATGACAACAGCCTATTGGAGTAGTTGCTAGAGATCGTATGGCATGCAGAACCTAAAATATTTCCTATCTGGCCCTTTAAAGAAAAAGTTTGTCAATTTCTCTGCTAGATTAAAATACTTAAGGAACAACCAAATGTATGGCACTGGATTGGATACTGTTTTGGATGGGACCAGCTGTAAAAGACTGGAAAAATCTGAGTATGGTCTTGCTATTAGTCAATATGAAATTTACTGAAATGGAAAGGTAGAGATGGTGACTGAAAAAAGAAGGTTACAAAAGAGTATGCTCAGTATGATATTTTGGTATGCCTACAGGTCTGGGAGGAGAGACACTGAGGTATCATGACTGATCATGGGGGTTGGAATATGATGTTTTTACTTTCTCATTGTTGCTTCCTGGTATTTTGTATTTTCTTCTTGCATAGATGTGACTTCTAATTTTTTAGTGTACTGTGTAGCCTAAACTAGGATCACTGCAGTATAGGTTTCGGTATATAAACAGTTGGAGCTAAAAGCATTTTTGAAAGTGGGAGAGTTTATAAATCACACTCAGTTGGGGAACAGAATGTAAAAAATTCCACCTACAGGAAAAGAATGGAAACATTAAAGAGCAAAAACTGGATTGAAGACATTCTCATGCTGATCATCTGGTGCCACTGTCAGCATGGTGAAGCCTGGCTGCTCGGAAGGGGAGTTTGGAGAGGAGTGCCTGAGACAGAGGAGTCTAGGCTAAATGCAAACTTCCACTATCCTATGAAGAGTAACTCATTTTAAGCAAAAGAAAAATGTACAGTGAAACCTGTGAGAGCCGGAACTTGACAGCGCTATCTTGTTTTTCCCAGTCTCGCAAGTTTTCTGCCTTTGACAGGGCGCAGTCTTACCACTTTTCTATCACACTCTATTAGTGGAAAATATTTTAGTTTTTCTTCTCTGACAGGTTTTCACCTTATATAGGTTCTGGCTTTCACAGGTTTTACTGTAGCTGATTTGTATTTTGGAGGCTCTGGAGGCTATATGGAGGATGGATTTAAGGACACATGACCGGAGGCAGGAATTTAGTTCTATGTTACAAATACATACTTTAAAAAAATAGTTGCTCTTTCGTTGTGGGGCATTTCATGGCTCTATTCCATCTCCTTCATCAATTATATCACAAATTCGAGTGGAGAGGCTGAGAGGCCACCACACCCTGGACAATGTCTTAAAACTCTGTAGGCTTGCCCACAACATTTTTTAAAAACCTCTTTTGGGGCATGTAACACATTCTCCCTTGCATTTGCTTTGATTGTACATAGGTCTTACTCTTCTAGTCTGAAAACTAACTGTACCCAGAGACCACTAGATTTTTTATGGTTCTACAGTACTTAGTACAGTATCTTTGGAAAAAATAGTGCTTAAAATAACTCTCAGATCTAAGTCTATAATCCTAACCTTTCTCCTGAGTGTCATACATTTCCAACTGCTCAGTAAACATTTCCACCTGGATGTCTTCCAAGAATCTCAAATTTAACCTAATCTAACATAATCCAAATGGAGCTCACTACATCTCCCACCCACTGTCAAACGAGCCCTGCTTCCACTTTATACTTTAAAGTTTATCTATACCATGCTCCCAAACCTGAGTCATCTTTGGCTGCTCGCTCTTCCTTACTTCCCATAAATGCTTCCCTGCCCCTCCCACTTCCCTACCCCCCATTAAGCTACCAGAACTGCCTTACTAAAGCAGAGATGTGATCATTGTCATTTCCCACCTTTGAGTGACTGGAAACTCCACAAAGACAAGGATTATGCCCAGTGTTACCCACTGCTGTAAGGAACCCTGGTGGTGGAATTTGTTGGCTGCTGAGAGATTGGCAGTTCTAACCTACCCAGTGGCTCTGCGGGAGAAAGACCTGGTGATCTGCTCCCTGTAAAGGCTACAGCCTAGAAAATCCTCTGGGGGCAGCTCTGCTCTGTCACATGGGGTCCCTGTGAGTGGAAGATCGACTCCACGGCACAACGACGACCACCTACTGCTGTATCCCAAGAGCCCAGTCCAGTTCCTGGCACATAACTGGCACTTGATAATTAGAGAATGAATGCTTCATGTCAAAGACCTTCAGCGGAGCGCCACTCTATACAGAGTAAAACTCTTCAGTGAGACAAATTACCCTTTCAATCCTAGTTCTCACAATTTCCTCCAGGTTTCCCAAGTGCCTGGTATAAATATTTGCAGCCCTTTGCTTCCCTGTCGCATTCTTCGTCTTTTGTTCTAGGATGCTGAATGGATTACTGCACTTGCCAAGTACAGGACTTCTCTCCCCACTATTTGTGTCCTCCAGTTTCTCCCCAAGATGATGACGCCAGGACAGCAGGGCCCGGGTCTTTGTGTCCTGTGCTCCTAGGCCGGTGTCAGGCTCATCAGAGGCATTCAGTAACTGTCATATGAAGGAACGAATTACTGTAATGCAGTGAATGGCCCCCTCGCAGCCGTCATCTTTTCCGCCACGGAGAAAGGAAGGGGCGGGAGGTGCACGTAAGATGCATCCTTTTTTCTTCTTACTGAATATAACACCCATGTAGAAGAGAGTATAAATCATAATTGTACAGCTTGTGAATTCTCATAAGCACACCCGTGAAACCAGCACCTAGATCAAAAACCAGCACACAGACGCCTCCCAGCGTCCTCTTCCATCAAGTCGTCCTTTCAACGCTCAAAAAGCCCGGAAGCTCAAATCCTAGCCCCTCTAGTTGCGGTGAGCGAAGCTGGGACGGGTCAGAAAGGCACAGTTAACCGAGATACACGCCTTACCAATAAACTTGAAGCGGCTCATGCCTGCGACCCCAGCTCCTCCCCGGCGGAAGCGGAAGTGGCCGCCGATCGCCCTGCCCTTCCGGTCTCCCCGCCCCGCCCCTCCGGCTTCAGGCCTCGGGTTTCCCGGGAGCCCTCGCGGCAGCTGAAGGTGAGCCGGCAGTGATGGCGTTCTCGGGGCCGGCTGCATATCTGACCCACCAGCAGAAGGTGTTGCGGCTTTATAAGCGGGCGCTGCGCCACCTCGAGTCCTGGGTCATCCACAGGTGGGAGAGGGGAACCCTGGCCTGGGGAGGGGGTCCTGAGGACACTGAGAGGCCCCGGGGGACCGGGCGGTCAAGGACTTCAGGGACGGAACGGACAGGCCGCCCCTTGCCCCACGAAGCTCGCCCATAGACCCGGGTTTGAATTCATGCCTCGTCTCCTATAGCTGCGAGACCTTAGACGAGTTGACGTCTCAACATGATTCTCTTCCATGTCTCTCTCCATCTGAGACGAGTCTTAGAACATAGAGATTGTCCTGACCTAGATGCGTTGCAAGGTGGGGTGACAACCCAAGATGTGTCAATGCCAGGTCTCCATTCCCTTGTCAGAATTCTAAAAGCTAGTCCCAGCGGAAGAGCGTCTTAGAAAAACTTCTAAAGATGGAAAACTGGGGAGGCCTGGAAGAGGTGCGGATTGCGTATTTGTGATTATTGGGAAATAATCAACATCTCTTTGCGAGGCAGGAAGATGGCCAGGTGCAGTGTTGTAGGATTGTTAGCTTCTTCCCTGAGTTTTCCCTCATTTATTCGTTTAACAGAATTTGTGATTCAGGTTCTGTGCTGAATGCTGAATAAATAAAGGTCAATCCACTTTCGAAGCTGCCACAGTTTTTGAAGTAGTGAGGAAGATGGACGTGTAAACATAACATAGAGAATCTTATAGAGATGAGGGAAGTGGGACCATCAAGAATTTAGGTAATGCTGAATTACAGCTGTGAATGTTGAGTCCAAAATCATGGAAGAAATGATGGAAGTAGCTACTGTGACAATGGAATCCCTGGGTGGCGCAAACTGTTAAAACACTGGACTGCTAGCTGAAAGGTTGGCAGTTCAAACCTACCCAGAGGTGCCTGGGAAGACAGGCCTGGCAGGATCTACTTCCAAAAGATCACAGCCTTGAAAACTCTATGGAGGAGTTCTACTCTGCACCCATGGGGTTGCCATGAGTCGTAATGAACTCAGCAGCAAATAACAACAACTTTGACAACACTCAGTCAGTTTTTTTAGTCTTATTGACATCCTTTCTCAGTCCTTGCCTGGTTTTCTTCCTCCATCTGCCCTCAGTGCTGTTTATTCTACATGGTGCCATCCTAGGCCCTCTGTTAATTGCTTTACATACTTTGGGCATCCTCATTCAACACTAAGACTTGAGGTACCACGTACGCTCATTTGTCTGTCTCTAGAGCTCTATTTCCAGTTGTTTGTTAGATCACTTACACATCTTTGAAACTCATCTTGTCTAAATTCTTTGAAACCAAACTCATTCTGTTTTCACTATGCAGTGGTTAAGCGCTTGGCTGCTAACCAGAAGGTCAGCTGTTTGAACCCACCAGCTGCTCCAAGGGAGAAAGATGTGGCAGTCTGCTTCCGTAAAGGTTACAGTCTAGAAAACCCTAAGGGGCAGTTCTGCTCTGTCCTGTAAGGTCACTATGAGTGGGAATCAACTCAACAGCAATGGGTTTGGTTTTTGGTTTTAGTGCAAGAAAAGGCTTGAAACCTTTTCAATGATTTAAAAGCTGCACATGCAGCAAGTGAAGATAACTGATGAAGAATTTGTTGCCAGGGGTTGGTCCAGTCATTTCAAAGTGAGGGTAAGTTTACATAACTTTAAAGGGCAAGTACGAGTTGTCTTGAGTTGTCCATAAGACGGATGTTCTTAACCCAGGGACTACATGTACTGGCAATTGAGTCCCTTACTGTAAACCTCAGAATTGCCCTCAAGTACTCCTTATTTACTCCTCTGCCAATAACACACAGCGTCTTACACCATGTATTAGACACTAATTTTTGTAAATTCTCTCTCCAAAGTAATAATATTAGTAGCTGACATTGTTGACCATTTACAGTGAGCCAGACACTGTCTGAAGTGTTTATATGTTATAACTCATTGACTGTTCACAACAACCTTAAAATACACTGTTATTAACACTGTTTTATAGAGGAGGAACCCAGGGCCTGGAGACGTTCAGTAACTTGCCCCAAATTACACAGCTGCTAAGTGACAGCTAAGGTACAAGCCCAGGCAGTTTGACTGAAGAACCTACTTTCATCACTTGTCTAATTACCTCCTGTCTCCTATCCATCACCATCATGGCTGCTTGCCTCAGGCCCTCATCATCCATGGCCTGGATTACTGTTGGGTCCTCCTCACTGATCACTGCCCATGGTTTCTTCTAGAGCCTGACCTTAACTTCCCTGAGGTGGTTCAGCTGGTCTCAGAGTCAGGATTCAAACCCGTCTGTCTCATTTGAGCAATACTGTTTCCACCATGTAACACCTCCCTCCTTACTCATCTTCATATCTCCAGAATTTAGCATACTGCCTAGCACAACGTAGGAGGAAATCAGTAAGTTTTCATTTAATGAATGTTGAACGGTCCTGCAGAGGCTATAGCTTTTGTCTTTTGCTAATTCTTTTTCATTTTTTAGTTTAAATCATCATGCCTTTTTTGGAGGAGAGAGGAGAAAAATGGTTAGGCTATATTTAATACGATGTTTTTGGGCCATGGGTGCTGATGTTTGGGGGGCTGCAGAGGAGACAGTCATAATTGGCTGCTTTACTGTCAGGGTCCGGGAAGGTGTTGGGAAGTTACACTACATCCAGAAGACTTTGCTGGGAGGACAGTCAGGCAGTAATACTGCCTGGTCAAGCAGATAAGATTTCTAATTTCCAAAAACATTTTGGTTTAAGGGATAAGTACCGGTACTTTGCTTGTTTGATGAGAGCCCGGTTTGAAGAGCATAAGAACGAAAAGGATATGGTGAAGGCCACACAGCTGCTGAGGGAGGCAGAGGAGGAATTCTGGCACTGTCAGCACCCACAGCCATATATCTTCCCTGACTCTCCTGGGGGCACCTCCTATGAGAGATACGAGTGTTACAAGGTAGGTGAGGATTACAGCGGCAACTGCCTTCTGAGAGCACGCTTGTTTCTCCAGCCCCAAACCTCAGCGTTAGAAACTGCTTACCCTTTTAGGGACAGCTAGGAAGTTTCTTGCCTGACAGTTGTAGCTACTCTTTTTCAGGTGTCAGTTTTCTCTCTCTCTTAGATATCATTAAGACTTTTTTTCTAAATTCAGCTCCAAAGTCTTGCAGTATTTTTGGCAATATTGCTTACAATAACATAAAGCCCTTCTGGATATTTAGAGAATGCGGGTAGGGGAGGAATATGCCAGTTCTAGACTGACATTATCACTGTTTTCCAGCCACAGCTGTTTCACTCTGAGGCGTTCTCCTTTCTCTTTGGTTTCTTGCTTGTCAGCTTTACCATTAACTGCTTGGTGTCAGAAACAGCCTGATACTTGCCATGATTATAAAAGTGCACTTTGATTTTTGCCTTCTATCTCCTGAGCAGGCCCTGTCAGTGACACTGTGAGTGAGTGATGCCGTGGTTTCCTCTCCTGGCAGGTCCCCGAGTGGTGCTTAGATGACTGGCATCCTTCCGAGAAGGCGATGTACCCAGATTACTTTGCCAAGAGAGAGCAGTGGAAGAAACTGCGCATGGAGAGCTGGGAGCGAGAGGTGAGTCTGACTAGCATTTTGCCATGTTGAAGAGAGACAGAAGAGGTAAAGGAGGAACATTTTTGAGATGAGGGCATGGGATCCTGAGGGAGTTCTTCCTCCATTACGATTAGACTGGGAAAAAAAAAAAAAAGTAAATACATTTCAGTTAGAAGTTTTGGCGATGGAAGATGACAGACTTCTGTGTGATGGCTTCTCTTTTCTTAGAGAAGTAAGAGAAGAGCCAAGAAATGGATGCAGCATGTTGGGGGAATATGAAAAGGTGTGATCCCCATGGGGAGAGGAGGGCCTTACTGGAAAATAGGACGATTGCCAGGAGGTGGTGAAGGCCCATTTGAAGTTAGAAACAATGTGTTACGACACCAGTCTGGTCCAGTTTTTTTTTTTCTTTAGCAATGCTAAGCTGCGCGGGTACAGGTTGAAGGTAGATGGTGTGGTTTGTCCTTTGTGCAGAGAGAGCAGCAAGGGATTTGCGGTTATTGAAACAGGAGTGATCGTCATGATGGAATGAATCTAAGCTGGATAAAGAAGGGAAGTGAAGACAGCAGAGACTGATGGGGAGAGAGAAGGTCGAGTGGGTGGGAGATCAGTGGATTGGTTGTCTCTGAATTTCAAGAATTATTTTCATGGGGGCATTTGAGCAAGTGAGCTGGAAGAGGAGGCAGTGGTTTCATAGGGGGACATTTGAATTCATGATTTTGAAAGATGTGCTGGTTCTGGTGATAAGGTCCAGGATGTTAAGCATTAGAAATCCTTGGCCAAGGTGGAGTGAAAGGAAAGTCACTGTGGCCAAGGAGGGCAGTGTTTCATAAGAAGCATCTCAGCATTTAGAAGTTTGAGGCATCTATTTGAGTAGCAGGTTCATCTGCCACGATCACCACAGTAACTCACCACACATATTTGGAGGTCTAGTTCAGCCACATCGCAGAGTTGATTTTTCCAGAGGGAGTTTCGGAAAACGATTAGCCTCAGAAGTGGGTCTCTTACATCTCCTTCTCTGCTCTGACAGCCTTATGTTAATCATGTCGGTCTCTAGAACTGGGGTAGTTGCGGGGGTGGCCACTAGAAAGGACTCAGTACATATTTTAAAGGTGATTTTATGTTATTTCTTATCTTGGTTGCTGTTTGGGGACCTTTGAAATCAACATGCCAATATATGAACTGAGGTTTTTTAATGGTGCTTTTGGAGAGCACTTAGCTGAGATTGTTGTTAGGTGCTGTCGAGTTGGTTCCGACTCATAGCGACCCTATAGAAAAAATGATTTTCTGGAGGG